AGTCGGGAAGAAAGCAAACCAACGAGAGTATGAAATGAATTGTTTATTATTGCGATGTTATGTTGCAATATTGGATTCCATAAAGGAGGACGCCCAGTCTAGTCGGGCAATATAAAATTAATTTTCTAGTAAGGAAAATATTCAAGTATTTATTTATATGGACGGATCGAGGGCCCCTAGCGCAGGATACCGCTAAACCACAGCACCTGTCTTCGTAGGTAGGTACACTCTTAGAAATTCGGTATTAAATTAATACCAAGCGGTATTCATATATTTATGACTCTACAAAATGGTATTGATAAGTAGTACCGACCCTGTAGTAATAGCTCGGTATTAAAGTTTTACCAGATCGGTAGCAAATTTGTACGGACCGGTGTAATTTCAATACCAAGCGGTAACAACTTCAATACCGAAAAATCAATACCAGATTTATAACAGTGCACACATATGCATCCCAGAATTTATAGTTTCGATTATTCTCGAGTGTCCAAGCCCAACCTTGCGACGAACGACGATGGTGACCGCCACCGCATACCGTTTAAGAGGAACGGAACCCACTACTTACGTACCTTCATAATTCTAAAAATAAATACGAGTCGTTGCCCAAAACCGCTGTGACCTGACCATTGACGTAAATATGTACGGAACGTAGTAAATCGTATGATGCATGCACTCCTAGGGCGAAAGAAAAGCAGATAATAGAATAAACTAGCTGGGAAGAATTGTTGTCCGGTTATTAACATTTTATTCCCGTTACGTCGACCGGCCTGGCATAAAAATAGTTGGAGGTTGGAAATGCAGCAGGTACTCCCTCCTGGTTATCATGATCAGAAAGCTCTCCTCGAAATGAGGGGAAAGCTGGTGCTCGATAATGACCATGATAATGGAAATAGATTCATTTATGATTTATGACAATTCATGGAGAAAATGGTTTCTTTTATGTCCGTATAATGTATACGGCTGAATTATTTGGATTGTGTGTGTGGCTCGACTCCAATGAAATGAATGCACTTTTGGGTTGGGTCGGATATAGAAAAACCAAACAGAAACACACACGCATCCGTCCATTCAATATCCGTCTGGCTGGACCTTTTTTTCGAAACAGGGTTCCCCAAAAACCAACAATTTCCTTGTTGGTTTCCATATTTTGTAAACATTGAAAGGTTCGACGCATTCTTTTCAGACGCGTGTTCATACTTTTGACAACACAAAAAAATCCACCCTTATTAAACACGATTTTGGTCAAGAAATCCATCCATCTTTCAAGTCGTGCTGTTGCTCCTGCCTGCACTGCAACCCTGCCTCCTTCCTCCTCCTCCTCTTACTTTCTCTCTCTCGACGTAAGTAAGTGATAAGCTGACAAGCATATCTGCCAAGCCGACTATCAGACTCGAATCATCTCCACGAGCAATATTAATAATACTCCAATAATAAAAAGCTAAGCTAACTGAATCAATGTCAGCTCGTTGCAGTTCCGTCTACATCCGTCCATCTCTTGTTATTAATGATCCGTCTCCATTACGAAGAACGAGGAGGAGGGCTGGTCTGATCCACATCACATCAAAGCAGCAATGAACAATATGACAATCTCAAAGGAGCAGAATTGTGCAGCCCGGTCGGTTGCAGTAAGAACCCGGGATGCAGTCTTTGTGTAATTCAATAATACTTGACTTATTATTGAGTGTACCATTTGAGACTCAAGTGCAGCCCAGCACAGGTTGCAGTCCGTCCGTTCAGTAGCAATAAACCATTAAGATATGGAACCATTACCTATTAATCTAATGAATCTAATGCTTCACTTTCCCAGAATATTATGATTACGTACGTGATACGCTCTCGATGCATAAATAATTAACGAGAACTACCCTTAAACACACACACACGACGACTTCGACGGTGTACTTTACATACTTAACAACTTTGTTTAAAACTTGGCAGCTACATGTACGCTGTTCGTTTCATATCTAGATAATCAAATATTTGCCGTAATTCTCTCTCTCTCTCTTTGGCGAGGGCATGGGAGGAGGACATTCATCAAATTAGTCCCTGTTTGTTACTTACTCATGAGAGCAGTAGTGGTTTGGCCTGGTATCCAGGCAGTGGCAAACCTAGAAAACTGCTCCCGTATCTGATTCGACTCTTAATGAAATCGTGCACAAACCGGATTCACACAAAGATTTATCCCCTCTCTCTCCGACTTCTTGCCTCGAGCTGAAGCAGTAGCAGCAACCAACACATGATATCAAATGATGCACCGATTTTATTAAATGAACCAGAGAACAAGCTCCACACCAGCAGAACAGCGAGTTTTACTGCACGCTAAATAAAATCTCTACAGCAGCGAAATGGTATCACTTTCATTCATTCATTTTTCCTTATCCAACACAGTGCAGCTGCATTCGGGGAAAGAAATCCCATAAAAAATCCGAGCCCTGTATGTGATCTCGTTTTCATGGATGGATCAAGTTTCATTTTACTGCATCTCATACCCAGTCCTGTTTTGATTTGTGGGTCCCGTTTATCAATTAAAAACTATGGCCACGTACAATCGGGCCCACGTCAATAGCAACCAACACAAGTTCTATTCTCGTTTGTGAGTGAGTGCATTGTTCTTTTTCGGAGTTAATAAGGACCCAAGAACACAATAAAGGCCACGGTTTTTTATACGCTATGTACCTTCTCTCTGATCCTTTATCCTTGTCGATGTCGAGCTTTGACGTGGGTTTATCCGTAATTGAGCAAAAAATGTGACAGGCACCACCCGCCCGTCGGCCTCAGTCAGTCAGTCAATTCTGCTCTTATGTCATACGTACGTCTCATGGCTTCATATGCACATACTTTCCCTTTCCTTCCTCAACTTCCATCCAACCACAACGTGTTCTGTTATGCATTATTACAAAGGTTTGATTGGCACGGAGCGACCCTCCCGATCGGTGTCCTTACAATTATGCCATTTTTTGTCATAGTGCCGGATACGGATTGCACTTAAGAACCCTTGTAAATACAATGGGCTAAATATAATCCAATTTGATCGGAGAGTGGCGAGAAAAGGGACACAAATCAGAGAGTCAAATCTCAAATAAAGCCGTGTAAAAGTCTCTCCTGAAATGATCCTTCCTTCCTTTTTTTTGGTTCACCAGTTGGTTATAGTGGAATGACCAGAGGGCGGATATGTATTTATTTTTAAGTTTTTTTATTTTCTGACGATAACCGGCGGTCAAACTTTGTGGGTGTGTCTCCTAACTCGAATAGGCCACAAAAATTCCCTTTATTATTTGGAAATAAGTATACTTTTAGACTTATTTCTAAAATATATATGTATGTACGTTTTGGAAATATTTCAACGATGTGAGACGAAAATTTGTGCTTGAAGAAATTGGACCACAAAAAATCCAGAGCATTAAAGTAAAGAGAATAAAAATTCTTGGGAAAATTCCTATTTTTATGATTTTTTTCGCACATATTTCGTGAATTTGTTAGTGTTTTTTTCATAAATATTAAACACACATTTAAGCGATTTTTCCCAAATAAATACATATCCGCCCTCTGGCCATGAAACACAAGGGGTCTCTCCTTCCTTCTCTGTCGGAGGAGAAAACTTTTAACGGGATTATTATTATGCGTTCCATTATATTTATGGTGTTGGTGATGGAGAAGGGAATTACTCTCTTCAGTTCCACCACGGCTCTCACATTCATCCCATTTTTTAAGTGGACGTCGAGTCGTCGACTTGACGGTGAATGAAACTCGGAACTTTCACCATTTTCAGCACAAGTCTCTTCATAATAAAAGCAGTGAAATGGCAGAGATTTTTTTTGCCAAGGAAAACTTTTCCTCAATGTCAGTCAGTCAGTCAGTCAGGTTACCTTGCGTAAAAAGAAAGGTAGTCGTATCTTTTTCGCCAAACAATCAAGCCCACCGCGAGACCAAAGTTGATTGATCTATCTCATCTGTGTGGTTAAGGTGGGCTGGGTGGGTTGGAGTGGGTCAATCGATAAGGGAAACACATTACGTAACACTTTAGGAAAAGAATTGCCTATTTTTCTCTCCTTTCTCCTTCCATCAATTGCAGCAGGAAAAGTCAGTGTCTTTATTTGGCAAGGCCATTAGTATTATTATTGCTCCTTCTGCCTGATACATATCAGTGGCCGCGGAAGTTGGGGAGGGGCATATGGGGACATTAGCATTATAGGATAGGGAAAGAAGGGGATTATACAGCATGGGAAGACGATAGGAACATCGAGTAATCGTTGGGACATAGTCCCTCTGTTCCCACGCTTCCGCGGCCACTGTGTATGAAGCAGTGGCGGCGGAAGCGAGAGGGGGGCACCTGGGGACATTAGCATTGTGAGATGAGAAGAGGAAGGGCTTATTAATATTGGAAAGGTAGGATTTATATGAATTTCTGATGGGACAATATCCCCTTGTCCCCCTGCTTCCGCGGCCACTGGCAAATGTACAATTTTTTTGCCTATGGAATTTTCATGGTTTTCTATTTTCATTCTTGAAAGCATTTTTGTTTTCTTTAAAAAAACAGTTAAAACGCTAATCGTGCCAACTTTAGTCGACTTGTTGGGTTGGTGAAAGGAGAAAAACGTGCATAATGTGAAATATTACGAGACGTAGATTTAATCCTGCGGCAATAAAGTTAGGTAAGTGTGCCAGATTGTCACTCATTTTTCATGTCGTTATGCTCCTTTCAAAGGTAAAAAAGCTATCTAGAAAGCATTTTATGCAACTAAAAATAAATACAAGAACTCTTATTACACAAGAAAACCAATTTCGACATAAATTTTACTTTTCTCCTGCCAACTAAAGTACCAACAAAACCTTCATTTTTAAACCAAAGTACCGACTTAATGACGTCTGGAGAGTAATAATTCCTCCAGGTTTTTTGCAACCTTTTTAATTTCGCATATTGCTCGCAAATTATAATGGACATGGAAAACAACAGTTCAACTTTTTATCGGGTACATAAAACAAGAAGTAAAATCACCTACCTTTCTCTAATTGCGAGGTGTATGGCTAGATGTACGAGTAGGCGGGTAGCAGCATGAAATTCGGGCAGGATACTTAAGTTCAGTTCTGCTATACCCACAATTATTTAAAGTTGTTGTTGTCCTTTTTGATCACCGCGATGATCGCGAAAATCGATTTTATTGTCAATTTTACAGCTTACGTATGCAATTTTACTTCGAGATGAACCAGCAGATTAAATAAATTTACATAACTAGAAGGAAAATTCAAGTCTATTTAACGCAGCAATTACAATTATCCAGCAAATTTCACATCCAACTCAAACCAGACACGACAAGCTCCAAGTTCTTCTTGCGAGTGGAGTTTCAAGATAAGCGAACTGAACTGTAATGTTTGCGGTTTTGTAGAATTCGCTACTTTGCAATCGGGATGATGACAACCTCGAGTTCAAAGTTTATACTGGTTTCGTTCTGTGGTTTTGTTTTAAATTATATGTCACATTTTGAAAGGAGGACGACAAGTCGTGTTGCCAAATGACATGACAAGACACAAGTTTCTGCTTTCACTTTCAGCAGGTTAAGTCAAGCAGGGAGAAATATATAAACGGTGAAGAAACACAAAGCACAACTTGCCCCGCTGGTTGGTTGAAGAATTAGAGTAGTTTTACCTGTTCCACGTCAGGTTGGAAAGCTGGCTGGCTGGCTCCGTGTTTTTCCTCGCCTTCAGTTTTGCGACATTAGCAGAAATCAGTAATCGATACTTTCTCCGCGCTTCTGTTGGGTCAAATATGTATGTGCAGAGGTTACTTGTAGTTGGAATATGTATGTCTGTATCCTCTTCCTCCACCTTCTGCCAAAAACCAGAGCTCCTGGTCGAGCCGTTGATGATGATGATGATGACAATAGGTGGGTGAAATTGAGCTTTTTAGGTCACAAGAAGCCAAAAGCCAAGAAATTCGCAAATTGCCAAATTGCTCTGAAAACTGTTTACATTTCGGCCACACAGAGTTTGCCTCCTCTTTGTGGGACGACAGCTATTTGGCAGAGGGGTGACTGGACTGGGTCGGAAATGTTTTGGGCTACACACTTAATGTCACTCGATTGCTTTCACTTTGGAGAAATAATTCGATTCGATTTAAACAATGGTTTATTTGAGATAATGTGGGTGGAATTGGAAACTTCTTATTTTTTAGAAAAAAATTTGTAGAGAAAATTTTTCGAAATTTTTGAGACTCCGAAAACGCCAGGGCACCACAAGAATCTAGTCGCAGAGAGAGAGAAGACCCTCACCCGAACATGACAGGAATGAAACTGAACTGAAATCCGACTTTGTTTCTGGGAGAGTAGAGACGAGAAGCCGGGTTTTAGCCAGGGAGAAGAGAGACTCAGTAAATACCCGGGTATTGGGAGCTCACTCTAATACATCGGTCCCTACTTATGTACGTACGTAATACGTAGTCAGCAGGTTGGGAAATAAATGGTCTGAATGAGACGACGACGATAGCAAAGTTTGGGATTTGTACATACTAACTGATCGAATCTAGCGGACCACCAAATGTCAAATATTTGCGTAATTCAGAATCATCCATAATTATTGCCATTTTCACATTTGTCCCTGAAGCAGCCCCAACCACGTCATAATATTTAGTTAGCGTTACACCGACTGGACAGCATATCAAGCAAGAAATTGAAATCGTCTCATAATTCCCGACAGAATAATTAATCCTTCAAGTGGAACTATGGCCAATAACGTGTTTATTTTAACCATAACCTTTCTCTCCATAAAACAGGTATTATTATTACATACCTGCAGCTATTTTTGGCCACATGCTTGCTTAATTTACATGTCGTGCATTGTACACGATAAGAGACCGACCGACAACCTTGGAAAACTTTCTCTATTTCCAGCCCGTAACAAAAAGTGTCGTTTAATGTAAGAAATACAATGGACAAGAAGTTAGGTCTGCTTTCTCTCCAGAATTCCTTCCTCCTCTTTCTCTTCGATGAAATGCATTCAGCAAAAAAAGTCGGTTTCATTCTTCCCTCCCGGTTAGTTTATTTAAGAGAAATACTAAACTAAAAAACACAATTTTTTCTCGAAATCTCCACCGAAAACGGACCAACCAAACGGTCCGCTTTCTCTGACGAAGACGCATTTTGTTTGTGATCCAATTCCTGCACTTCACTCATGCACTTCACCCGTCCACGGTCAATCACGGCTGCCTATACATAAGTACATTCATAAAGTAACTGCACACGTACAACGGCAATATGTGCACACTCGGCGGAATGGAATTGAATTGAAGAGTTGGTCAAACACGCAAAAATCTCATCAACAAAGCACAACCTGCATATTTTCCTATTTCCTCTTCCCATTACGAAAACTCATTGAATCTCGTGTGTAGCACTTTATGTATTCCAGAGATTTCAAAGGTCCCACAGGGAAAGGAAAAATGGCTCAGATTTGATCCACATTTCTTGTATTTTTTACCATTTTTGCACAGGGTTTGCTGAGAAAATGAGGGATTCCTTTGTGTATGGATGGATATGCAGTAGTAAATCGTACACATCCGGTCTGGTCGAGGCATTGCATAACGCCCTGCTTTTTACTTGTTTGGGAGGCTGGCTGGCAGTGTTTTTGTTGATGTTGGGGTTTATTTATATGGACGGCTAGCCAGCCAGCCAGCAGGCCAACCTGCTCCTTATTGAGCTTTCTCTGTCTCCGTGGTGGTGGAAGTGAGACGAGATTTCGATCCAAGTTTCAAGGTGGTTATTTTATGAGGAAAATCGGCACATATTTCAGCCTAATGTTTACATTTACGACAATTCCTCCGGCTCCGCGAGAGAACCTACACAATGTCGATCGCAATCTTGATACGGGGGAAAATTGGAGATTGTACTGGTGTGAGGAAGAGGAAGAGAGAGAGTGAAATAAGGTGTGACCATAGTCGTGGTGAAAGTTATTGGGAATAAATCCAAGGGAGAATTTTGGGGGTTGAAATGTTCCCGAAATTTCTGCACGGACCTTTGGAGATACCCCACTGACTGACTCTCTCATCTACCAGACCACAATCACCACATGACTTAAAGTCCAGGTCAGACCGAGGTCTTGGCCCCAACTTATTATTGGCTCTTATTTCTATTTGTATTTGGTCTGTGCTTTGTATGCGTGTGCGGTATGAGAGGAGAGAGGAGGCCCACAGGGTGAGGGGCTCCTATACGTACACTCTAAAAAATAAGGTGACAAACGCGACCACTGGTGATCGGGGTTGTTACCATTTCGGTGGTAGTACACTCTTAGCAAACTCGTATTGAATCATTACTTACTGACCGGAGTACATAAATGACTTCACCGGCACGGTAATAACAGACATTACCGCGTGGTAATGTTGTGGTAATGAAAACTTACTACCCAGAAACAAATTAATACCAATTCGGGGGGAAGTTATTACCAAATCATTACCAACACGGAGTGTATACATGACTTCATCACATTTTTAACAGTGTATGTTTCCACTTGGTGATAAACTGTCACCGAGCTAATGGTGAGTGTACCCACGTGGTAATTCCGCTGTAACCGAGCGGTGGTTGACCTATTATCACCAGCCGGTAAAGTCGCATATCCTCACTGGTCGGTGATATGATAATCCGGTGGTAAAATTTTTTAGAGTGTATGAAGTGAAGGGCGAGAAAATGTGAGAAATCCGGGCGAGCTCTAGCTTTTGGCTTCCTGTCCGATGGATTATCTTTATGGGATTGCTGCCCCCTCTGATTTTGATTAGATAGAGTGCAAAATTCTTATCTCTCTCCACACACGAGAGACAGAAATGAAATGGATGGAGAAATCGAGGATGTAGAAATTGCACATGTCAGCCCCACCACCACGAACCCAATACGCGACGGAGTCACACCATTTCTGACTTATAAATATATTGCACTATATTTCATACTCGCTTTCTCCCCTGCTTTCACTTCCTCTTCCAGCTAAATCTACATCTGCCTACTCAGTCCGCTCTACTATGTACGGGTGAAATATGACCAAATACACGACAACTTTCTCACTCCCTTTTCAGGAAAAAGTCAAATTAATAAATATAAATAATTGCGAGTAGCCTTGATTTGAAACATTTTTAGCCCGAGGCAACGCTTATGTACCCAGCATGGTTGTCTGTCTATCGATTATGGTGGTAAAACTCATCCAATCGACTAGAAATGCATACAAGTAGAACATACAAAATTAGGAATCAAGTTAAAGGATGAGCAAAATCTGTCGAAAAATAAATAAATCGTAGCAAACAATATGTAGCAATAGGGTGAAACAAGTAATTTCCCCAAAAATTATTTGACCATACCCCTGACCTCGAGGGGGGGTTCAATTGACCCCAAAAGTTGATAAGATTCTCCCCCTGGGGTCATATGTATTATGCCGCAAACCGATCTCGATTATCTCGACCCGTTCTCCTGTTGAAGGACAGACAGACAGACGGAAAAAATTTCACTCAAAAGGGTTTCACACAGAAGTTCTGGTGATATATATTCTACCCACCTAAATTATTGATAACAACCTGACTCGGGCTAAATAAGGCTGTAACGTGTGTTTTATTCCTTGTTTTTGTGTTTGACTGGGTGAAAGTGGATTCGAAAAGATTGAACAGCGAAGCAAAAGTAAAATCCACTCCACATGAGGTGGATGAGGTGCTGCTGCTGCTTGGAGTTGGTTGAGGAAGGCTGCTGACTTGGCTGATTTCATGGGAGAGAAAGCAAGCACCCGTCAACTTCCTTTCTCCTTCTCTTGACGACACAACTCTTAACTTTTCATTTTACAATGTCACAATCGCTAAACTTGATGTGACAGGTTGACTATTCGACAACTGAAATATGACATCGGCTCTAATGTCCCGTGAACAAGGCGGCCAAAGTACATTATTGTACTTCATAAGTGGGCATGTTATTTTCTAATGTAAATACGTACGTATGTACACTCTAAGAAATTTTACGGGATTATCACAGTATTACCGGATGGTAGTAATAGGCCACCGCTCAGTTACAGTGAAATCACCACGTGGTGTAGTCACGTTTGTCACCGGGATTTTTTACAGTGTATGTGTACTCTAAGAAATTTTACCACCGGATTATCACCGACCGGTGAGTATATGTATATGCAAATCTACCAGATGGTAATAATATGTCACTGATCGGTTAGAGCTGAATCATCACCTGGGAACACCCACCACTAGCTCGGAATATACTACCACTAAACTACCACCGAAGTAGTAACAACCCCGATCACCAGATCCGGTGTAGTCACGCTTGTTACCGGATTTTTAAGAGTGTAATAAGTCAGGTTTTCTGAATTTAAATTTGTGCAAATTTCTTATCTAACCACCTCCACGTACTTTTGGCAAGGTAATTATTTTCGCAAGTTCGCAATCAACCTCGAGGCAAACCGGATTGGTTTGGTTTTTCTTTAGAAATCTTAAGAAATAGGTTACACATTTCTTCTAACTTATTTATTTTGGTTCACCGTTCACTGTTTACTTTCTCCTTTGAAAAAGAAAAACCTGGAATTCGTAAAATTTCTTTTTATATCCCAGTTCAAAGATTAGATCTAAAGTTTGCCCACAAACAATGCATTTTATGTGTGTTGAGCCCCATCAAAGTTAAAGGTAAATGTGCCCCTTAGTCGGGTTCAGGTTGGCATTTGAAACATCTTAAAACTACGCAGGAGGAAACTGCCAACAGCCAAAAACTAAGTTGCCTACTAAATAAAACTCGTTGTACTGGGCTGCATTTAACGCTGCCTTCTGCTGGAAATGTTCCCATTTGTGGGCGGGTGGGTGGTCCCCTCGCATCAAAGTCGGCAGGATAGTAATATCGTTAAGCGTGACAAAAACAGGTCATGAATCAATTGAAGGAGGAATATAAATAAGGATTAGACTCCTAAAATGTTACGTTCCCGACTCATGCATACTGCACACAATTTGAGAACTGGGTATCATTTTACGAAAGAAAAAAATAATGGAAAATTCCCACTTTCACTTTGGACGACACACACTTCTTTTTTTCTTATTTGACTAGTTGGCACTGCAAAATTGTGTCAATCACAAAATTCCAAAATCATAAATCAACTGTTTTTTTCCTTATTTGCTTTTCGTAAGTAAATTCAATTTAGAAATCAATTTAACTCTCGAGAGGAGTTCAGGAAGAAAAGTGCCATTATACTCGTCGCGGAATTATCCCCTATCACGCAATACGTACACGTGACACGTCATCCTTTCACTTATTGATACG